ATCGCTTCATACCAGAAGTTTTTCGAAATGTTCCTTCCAGATCCTCAGCACGCTGTCTGTATCTGTCATCAGGTTTCCTTCTTCATCTCTACAGGAGGATGTGCCTGCACCAAAACCTTCGGTTTGGTGTTTTACTCGTTGGTAAAATTTTCGGACTTCATTCTGACTCCTGTACATCTCGGTTTGCTCACGCTCACGTTTTTCTTGTTTTTTTTTCTTTTTTTCTGAAAATACGTTTCTCCTCTCTCCTTTTCTTCCGATAATTCTCCATCGCATTACGTGTTGCTATTGTCTGCAGGGTTTCCCTATACGCTGCGTTTTTCACATCAGTAGGATTACGACACTCCTGATCGTACCATGGTTTACTTGATGGTGGTTTTTGGTACCCAAGTGCTTTTGCTGCAGTTGTTAGGGAGTGGGCAATTCTTTGTCATTGTGCTTCTTAACTATTATCGGGACAAGAAGTGCTTTCGTCAAGCAGGTGGGTAAATTGGGCGGATTAGGCCTCTGCTACCTGTTGTGTTTGGAGCTTTTCGACGTCGAGTTTCCGTGTTACATTAGATCGCACCTTTGTGATCTAATTGCGAACCTTGGCTGCCACAAGGTAATGGTCCGAATCGACAAATGTCTTCCGTCTATCACAACATGGTCAATTTGATCTCTCGTTGCTTGATCAGGAGAAATCCAGGTGGCCTTGTGTATATAGAGGTGCTTGAATCTAGTGCTGCTAACTGCCTTCTTTTTGCTGCCGCGAACTCAATCCTCAGTCCTTTATACGTTTGCGGGGGTCGTCAACATTGAGGGGTTTAGCCTTCTTTTTCGTTGCTTTTTCATAGTAAGTGGGGTTTTCCGAGTGTGGGCAACTAACCCGACGCATCAACCCATTTTTTGATATTTTTTATGGGCGAATGGATGATGAAAATGAAAATAAATAAATAAAAATAAATGATGAAAATACGTCAGAAACGTCGGAAACCCACCCAAAACCATTAGGTTTTTGACAATATACCTATTTCCATTAATGAATTTGGAAATTACGTATGCTTTATTGAAATCCATATAAAATTTCAAAAACATTTTCTCCAAAAAGTTTAGAATTTTGTATTAGTTCTAGTAAGAAACTGACACATATATGTAAAAATAATATGTATTTTTGAAAATAACGGCATATGATAATAATATTTGAATAAATGACGTTTTCTACATTTATTACATTTTATACAGGTATATGACGTTTTCGACGTTTACACCTTTTTGACAGTCGAAAACCTAAAAATTCGTCATTCGGACCATCCCTGCCTGTAGGGAATAGATACTAAGCAAAGTAGTAAAGTAAAAATCTACTTTAAAAAATATTGACCGAGGTCTAGTTTTTTTTCTATCGAAAAAATTCCTCAAAATTGTATTTTATTTATAATTCCCCCATTTTGACCCCAAACACCGAACACGCTGCGGTGATTGACAGTTTGGCAAAAATATTCGTTTTTCAAACAAAGAATGTTCTAATTGGACTACAATGACCGCCACCATCGAATCGTGTAACATTTCCGGTATTCCCTGTGAACATTAGCAACAACAAAAACAAATACTTTACAAAACAAAACACTAAATCAAAAAAAAATAGACAACAACAAAAATAGATATTTCCCGTCTATAGAAAAGATTTTGAATTAAAAAAAAAATTACAAACAAAATTCACTTTTGTTTTCAAGTCAAATAGAATTCATTTGCATTCTTCTCGATGGACATGACATGCGTTGTACATGTTAAAAATAAAATTATTCGCCAAAAGGGTTACAGTGGGGGGAATTTTCGGATTTTTCTGTTCGATGAAAGATATATGAGCGATTATTTGTATTAATTTTTATGGTGTAGCATACAAATTATTTTAAAAAGAATCCCATTGGCCCTGAGACCATAATTCTGCAGCTGTGAATAATATTCTTCACACCCAATAATTTTGAATTTCCTCAAATTAATTCATAATTAACAAAATATTTTGTTTTTTAATAATTTTTTAATTATTGTTTTTTTCTGTTTTCTTCCAACGCCTTGGTAACACAATTCCGGAAATAAATCGCTCATTCACACCATCCACCTCGTGATAATGTCTTTGCCATATGGATTTCAAAGATTTTCCATAGAACTATTATTGTTTGCTTTTTTCCAATCGAATATTGAAGTATTTGTTTTTCCATGCCAAACCGGCAACAACAACAACAACACTTCATTTGTTAGTATTTCCACTTTTGCAGTTTGTTTTTCATTCCGCAAAATGCAAAGCAAATATTTATTCAACTGTCTGCAGAATACATTTTTGCGTTGATTATTGATATTAAGCGGTAGAATTTTTCAATAATATCGAATGATGATGATGCTATTCCAAAACATGTTTGAATAATATTTTTGTGGAATTGTTTTTCGAATCGAAGTCATATTGTGCAAATGCAGCTGGTGTGGCCACAGTGTGGGTGGGGAAATGGATGAGTGACAGATCAGGAAATGATCATTTTTAGATGCAAGGGGAAAATATTCTGAGGAGCGGAGGACCGATTTTTTCAAGCCTCAATATAGGCGTGTGGACCTTTTAAGCCTATTTTGTCAAGCCTCTAAAAAGGCGTGGATTTTTTAAAAATATTTTTTCGAGGACTACCAATATTTTTGAGGGTCACCAATAGGCGTGGATTTTTTTAAACATATTTTTGAGGGTCACCAACAGGCGGGGATTTTTTAAACATATTTTTTGAGGGTCACCAATAGGCGTGGATTTTTTTAAACATATTTTTGAGGGTCACCAATAGGCGTGGATGTTTTTAACCATATTTTTAAGGGTCACCAATAGGCGTGGATTTTTTAAACATATTTTTGAGGGTCACCAATAGGCGTGGATGTTTTTAACCATATTTTTAAGGGTCACCAATAGGCGTGGATGTTTTTAAACATATTTTTAAGGGTCACCAATAGGCGTGGATGTTTTTAAACATATTTTAAGGGTCACCAATAGGCGTGGATGTTTTTAAACATATTTTAAGGGTCACCAATAGGCGTGGCTTTTTTTAAACACATTTTTGAGGGTCACCAATAGGCGTGGATTTTTTTACCTTAGAAACTAGAGACAGATTTAAAAAAAATACTTAGAAACTGAGGTCAGATTTTTTTCTACCTCAATACCTCAGATACTGAGGTCAGATTTTTTTCTACCTCAATACCTCAGATACTGAGGTCAGATTTTTTTCTATGGAAAAAATACCTCAGAAACTGAGGTCGGATTTTTTTCTATAGAAAAAATACCTCAGAAACTGAGGTCAGATTTTTTTCTATAGAAAAAAATACCTCAGAAACTGAGGTCGGATTTATTTCTATAGAAAAAATACCTCAGAAACTGAGGTCGGATTTTTTTCTATAGAAAAAAATATTTCAGAAACTGAGGTCGGATTTATTTCTATAGAAAAAAATACCTCAGAAACTGAGGTCGGATTTATTTCTATAGAAAAAATACCTCAGAAACTGAGGTCGGATTTATTTCTATAGAAAAAAATACCTCAGAAACTGAGGTCGGATTTTTTTCTATAGAAAAAAATACCTCAGAAACTGAGGTCGGATTTATTGCTATAGAAAAAAATACCTCAGAAACTGAGGTCGGATTTATTTCTATAGAAAAAAATACCTCAGAAACTGAGGTCGGATTTTTTCTATAGAAAAAAATACCTCAGAAACTGAGGTCGGATTTTTTTCTATAGAAAAAAATACCTCAGAAACTGAGGTCGGATTTTTTTCTATAGAAAAAAATACCTCAGAAACTGAGGTCGGATTTTTTTCTATAGCAAAAAATACCTCAGAAACTGAGGTCGGATTTTTTTCTGTAGAAAAAAATACCTCAGAAACTGAGGTCGGATTTTTTTCTATAGAAAAAAATACCTCAGAAACTGAGGTCGGATTTTTTTCTATAGAAAAAAATACCTCAGAAACTGAGGTCGGATTTTTTTCTATAGAAAAAAAATACCTCAGAAACTGAGGTCGGATTTTTTTCTATAGAAAAAAATACCTCAGAAACTGAGGTCGGATTTTTTTCTATAGAAAAAAATACCTCAGAAACTGAGGTCGGATTTTTTCTATAGAAAAAAAATACCTCAGAAACTAAGGTCGGATTTTTTTCTATAGAAAAAAATACCTCAGAAACTGAGGTCGGATTTTTTCTATAGAAAAAAATACCTCAGAAACTGAGGTCTGATTTTTTTCTATAGAAAAAAATACCTCAGACACTAAGGTTTACTTTTTTATAGAAAAAAATACCTCAGAAACAGAGGTCGGATTTTTTTCTATAGAAAAAAATACCTCAGAAACTGAGGTCGGATTTTTTTCTATAGAAAAAAATACCTCAGAAATTGAGGTCGGATTTTTTTCTATAGAAAAAAATACCTCAGAAACTGAGGTCGGATTTTTTTCTATAGAAAAAAATACCTCAGAAACTGAGGTCGGATTTTTTTCTATAGAAAAAAATACCTCAGAAACTGAGGTCGGATTTTTTTCTATAGAAAAAAATACCTCAGATCGGATTTTTTTCTATAGAAAAAATACCTCAGAAACTGAGGTCGGATTTTTTTCTATAGAAAAAAATACCTCAGAAACTGAGGTCGGATTTTTTTCTATAGAAAAAAATACCTCAGAAACTGAGGTCGGATTTTTTTCTATAGAAAAAAATACCTCAGATTGAACTGAGGTCGGATTTTTTTCTATAGAAAAAAATACCTCAGAAACTGAGGTCGGATTTTTTTCTATAGAAAAAAATACCTCAGAAACTGAGGTCGGATTTTTTTCTATAGAAAAAAGGACCTTAGAAACTGAGGTCGGATTTTTTCTATAGAAAAAAGTACCTTAGAAACTGAGGTCGGATTTTTTTGTATAAGAAATATCTCAGTAAACAAAACTGAGGTCTCAATTGTTACAATTTTGTTTTTGGATATCAAACAATTAAATATTTTTTTTATTTTCCTTTACAGCATCCTCATCGAACCGAACAATCACACCTCAACAAATAATGGCAGTGTGGCGATACGTGTCCAACGTGATGGCCGACTCAACAGCTTTGAACCCATTGTCTTGGACATCAACAATGTGACGGTGACAAATGTACGCGTTACACGTGATACCTATGCCGCCAATCTGATGCAGCCTGAAGATGTAGAATTCGAAGGAGCCTATAATGCAGATTATACGGCCTATGTTATAACGCTGGCGAAGTCATTGGCCGATGAGAAAGATTTGCAATTGATTGTTAGCATGGATTTTGTGAGTCAAATTACCGATACCCTGCAGGGTGTCTACAAGACCAGTTACATCGATGTGAATACGGGAAGGAAAGAGTAAGTCGATGAAAGAGATCACAAAGTGAGGGAAAAGGGAAATTTAATTTTTTTTGTTGTTCTTTTTTTAGATGGATGATCAGCACCCAATTTTCACCAATCGATGCCCGTCGTGCATTCCCCTGTTTCGATCGTCCCGACATGAAGGCCAATTTTACAATCAGTATTATTCGACCCACCCGAACGGCAATGGCCCTATCCAATATGCCTGTAAATAATAGCACGTAAGTTGAGAGAGTTTTCTAGTTCTTGAAAAAATATTAACCTTGATTTTTCCACCAGTATCTGCCGTCCCGGTTTCACTCGTGATGATTTCATGACCACACCAAAAATGCCAACCTACCTCTTAGCTTTTATTGTTTCGAATTTGGTGAAATCTCATTTCTCCGATATGGATGCTTCACTGGTGCCCCGAGTTGAGATCTGGACCCGTCCCGAAAATCGCGACATGACCCATTATGCCTATTCGCTGGTCCGCAAATTCTTACCCTTCTACGAAGGCTATTTTGGTATTAAGAATCGTCTGCAAAAAATCGATATAGTAACGGTGCCAGATTTCGGTTTTGGTGCTATGGAAAATTGGGGTCTGATAACATTCAGGTGAGCTACTCAATAAAAATATTTAGGTCCATTATTTCTATAGAAAAAATCCGACCTCTGTTCCTGAGGTCCATTATTTTCTATAGAAAAAATTCGATCTTAGTTCATCTGAGGTCTATTATTTTCTATAGAAAAAATCCGACCTCAGTTCCTGAGGTTCATTATTTTCTATAGAAAAAAATCCGACCTCAGTTCCTGAGCTTCATTATTTTCCATAGAAAAAAATCCGACCTCAGTTCCTGAGGTCTATTATTTGCTATACAAAAAAACTACGACCTCAGTTCCTGAGGTCTATTATTTTCTATAGAAAAAAATTCGACCTCAGAGTCTTTTCCGCCTCCAGAATGAAATATCATAATATGTCATTATCCCTTTTTCAGAGATTCCTCCCTGTTGGTCCCCGCTGATTTGGAGAAGGCCTCCTCTTCCGAACATATGGAATATGTGGCCCAAATTGTTGCCCATGAATTGGCGCATCAATGGTTCGGTAATCTGGTGACACCCAAATGGTGGGATGATCTATGGCTTAAGGAAGGTTTCGCCTGCTATATGAGTTACATTGCCCTGAACAGTGTCCATCCGGAATTTGAGATTATGGATACCTTTACAGTATTTGAATTTAAAGAATCTATGCAACACGATTCCGACAATAGTTCCCATCCGATTTCCTTTAATGTCAAGGCCACCAATGACATTCGTCGTATTTTCGATCCGATTACCTATTCTAAGGGCACAATTTTGTTGCGTATGTTAAATTCAATTGTGGGTAATGAAGCGTTCCGTGATGCCACCCAGGATTTGTTGAATAGCTTCGCTTATGGCAATGCCGATCGTGATGATCTATGGGAATTTATGACCAAACATGGCCATCTGAAAAAGACCCTACCCGAACATATGGACATTAAGACCATCATGGATACTTGGATATCGAAACCCGGTTATCCGGTCATAAATGTGGAGAGACGTGGTGCCGATTTGATCATCACTCAGGAACGATATATTCTACCATCACGTGACATGGCCGATGATAGTAAATGGATAGTGCCGATAACTTTTGAGACAAGTGAAGTACGCACCGGCCACACCATACCCACCCATTGGCTGATGGATAATGGTCTCGAATTGGTTATCCGAGATGTCTTCAGTTCCGACAATAATACCAATGATATTGTCTACTTGAATTTAAATCGTCAAGGCTATTATCGTGTAAATTATGACTTAGTGTCCTGGTTGGCTTTGAAAAAGGAATTTGCCAATCTGCCGCGTGTCACCCGAGCCCAATTGTTGGATGATGCCTTCCATTTGGCCCAGGCGGAATATTTGACCTATGACATACCGTTGACATTCCTTATGGAAATTTTCACATCCATTGATGATGAGCTGTTGTGGTCCGCTGCCCAACAGGGTCTAAATTATCTGATACATATGATGAGCCGTGAACCGGGATATGAAACGTTTAGGGTGAGTGGAGGACGAACTGCTTTTTTTTAGAAAAATATAAATTTTTTTATTTTTTTCTTCTAGGCCTTCATGAAGTTCATGGTCCGTCCGGCCTTTGACCAATATGGCCTGCAGGAACCCGATAATGAATCACATATCCAATTACAACATCGAGCTTTGGTCGCCAAATTGGCCTGTAAATTTAAATACGATCGTTGCTATAACTTCGCCCACCTGAAATACCGCGAATGGATGCAAAATCCCAATTTTAATCGGTGAGTATTGAAACGGCGATTTTTAAACTAATAAGGGCTACTTCGGGATTTTTTCTTATATATAAAACAAGTCGGTCTTTTATTGCGATTTTTCGATATATATTCTTTCAAACCTTAGTTTCTGAGGAATTTTTTTTCTATAGAAAAAATCCGACCTCACTTTTTGGGTGTTTTCTATATATATTCGGATTCAGACCTCAGTTTCTGAGATATTTTTTTTCTATACAAAAAATCCGACCTCAGTTTGTGAGGTATTATTTTTTCTATTAAAAAAAATCTGACCTCATTTCCTGAGGTATTTTTTCAATAGAAAAAATTCTGACCTCACTTTTTGAGGTATTTTTTGTTATAGAAAATATTCCGACCTCAGTTTCTGAGGTATTCTTTTCTATAGAAAAAATCCGACTTCAGTTTCTGAGGTATTTTTTGTCTATTAAAAAAATCCGACCTCATTTCCTGAGGTATTTTTTTCAATAGAAAAAATTCTGACCTTACTTTCTGAATATTTTTTGTTATAGAAAATATTCCGACCTCAGTTTCAGAGGTATTTTTTCTATAAAAAAGATCTGACCTCAGTATCTGAGGTAATTTTTATAGCAAAAAAATCCGGACCCATTTCCGAGGTTTTTTTTCTATAGAACAAATTCGATCTCAGTAACTATTTGTAAAAAAAAACCGGTCTTCAGTTTCTGAGGATTTTTGAAAAAAAAAAAAATTAATTTATATTATTTTCTTGTCTTTAATATTTTATTGATCTCAAATGGTCCTAGGATTCTTGGTCTATAATTTTTAACAAATCTCCTACTTACATGAAACGACTCATATGCTACCACTAGACATTTTACAACGAAACTTTATCTGTTAATATTTTTTATAAATATTATATTAAATAATTTATAAGAAATTTTGGAACACCCTGTTAGAAAGCTTTTAAACACCCTGTCTCAAAAAGCTTAGCAAAAGTTTGAAATCATATTTTTGGCAAACGAATAATAACTGCCCGGCTAGCTCAGTCGGTAGAGCATGAGACTCTTAATCTCAGGGTCGTGGGTTCGAGCCCCACGTTGGGCGCAAATAATTTTTTTTTAAATAAAAAAAATATTTTTTATTTATAAAAAATTGTTTTGTTAATAAAAAAATATTTTTTATTTTTATTAAAAACTAATAAAAAAATTAAAATATTTTTATAACCAGAGAGCGGAACTGTATAGTCGGACGGGGTCAACTATATGATACCCTGCACAACTTCCACGAGAATCTAACTCTATGTGGTTCTGAGCTTCGGTAATATTTCGCTCTATTTTCAACCCCTTGACCGATCAGAGGCCAACAAATATTAATAATATTCAGTACAGCCCTTCTAATTACTTGTCCAGATTCCCTTCACCCTGGGTTGTGTTGTGATGTTCGGCTTTCAGTTGTGGCCTATAGATCAACTAAAAAAACACAAAAAATTAAGTTTTCGGGCCACTTCATTCCAATATTATTATCTGATCATCACCGAAAATTATAGGCGTTGTCCTTGACAATACCTGGATCCTCATGGGAAATTTAAAAGCGCTCAATGCTATATTTTTCCACTCTAGTGGGGGTACTAAACAATATATGAATACGTAAACGCCTGTAAATATTAAAGTGTATCTCCCACATCCGAGTACATCGACTTATAATTGGCATCAATTTAGAGGTCAACCACTCCACGTCTCGGGTCTATGCCCTTCAAGGGTAAACCTTTATGCTATAGAATACAAATTTTGTAATTTCTCACACAAAAGTCAGGGTTAATATGACCCCCTAAATACTGAACGATCTTCATCAAAAAAATCATGCTTATTCTTTGTCCCGATTCCCTTCTCCGTGTAAAAATGTTTGAGCCATAATTGCGGCCTCTGGAACGACCAGAATATTAGTCAAAAATAAAGTTTTTGGTCCATTTCATACCATAAATATTAACCGATCTTTACCAAAAACATGTAAAATTTCGTGAAGATTGGTCCATAACTGTGGCCTGTATCGTGTTTAAAAATTTTAATGGACAGACGGACTGACAGACACACATAAAGGTCTAGATCGACTCAGCTAGTCAAGTTGTGACGATCGGTATACTTAAAGGTGGGTCTAGGATCAGTATTTCACGGCGTTACAAACTCTTGGGGCTGCACAAACCTATAATACCCTCACAACAAGTTGTATAGGGTATAAATATGGTATTTCTTTAAAAAAACTAATTTTTATTTATTAATAATTGTTATTATTTTTTAATACATTTTCCTTATTTTTAACAATAAAAATATATATTATTATTTCTATTTGTTTAGCATCACTCCCAACATGAAATCCATTATCTACTGTACTGCCATGGAAGAGGGTTCATTCCAAGAATGGCATTTCGCCTATAAACAATACAATCGTACCACAAGTGCCTCCGAAAAGGAACAGATCTTATCATCGTTGGGCTGTACAACGAAACCATGGTTGTTATCCAAGTAAGTAGAACATTGTTAAATATTTTGTTTGAATAAATAAAGTACAATACAATCATATAAGTTAATTTTCTAACATAAAAAATAATAAATATCAAATAAAAAAATTAAAAAAAAATTCATTCAGGTTCTACCGAGATTTGAACTCGGATCGCTGGATTCAAAGTCCAGAGTGCTAACCATTACACCATAGAACCGTATATCTGCCTGTGTACCAAAATATAGTTTCGTAATTTTTTTGCGTTAACGAGAATATGTGTGTGCGTGTTTAATAATTTGTATCTGTGTGCATTTGTTGCTGTTTGTTTTGTGCTGCCCATTGTTTGTATCTCTCGTTCATGTGTTTAATTTGTTGTTGTTTTCTTTTCAGATATTTAAATATGACACTCAACTCCACCCTTATTCTGAAACAAGATGGCGCCCGAGCATTTAGAGCTGTTGCTGAAAATCCAATTGGCTTTGAAATCGCCTTCGATTTCCTGCAAACGAATATCAAGGAGATTGCCGAATAGTAAGTAGAGATTTTGAAAAGATTTAATTTGAAGTTGCTGAAAAAGGAGGGGAGGTTTGATATTGAAAATAATTTAATTAACATGGAACATGTTCGCCCTTTTGATGGGCTATCCGGTGTTTGGATTTGATTGTGTAGCAAATCTTTCCACCAAAAATGATCAATATCGGTCCACGTTTTAGTAATGTCCCCATATTAATCGTACCCTGAATTTTCGGTATTTTGTGATTTTATGCACGTTTATCACCTTAATGCGCTCTAATTTAATATATTTGGCTTTCAACGGGAGGCAGATATTCCTACCAGAAATTATCAATAGTACCCAGAATATTCGGTATATTGACGATTTTGGGAACTTTTATTAACCGAATAAACTGCATTTTGGAATTTTGGGTTCTCATTGGGTGACAAATCTTCGTACCAAAAATAATCAATATCGGCCCATGTTTTGGTATAGCCCCCATGTAAAAGTACCTCGAAGTCATGGTATTTTGGGAATGTCGGACACGTTTTCCAAACGAAATGGCTGTAATATAATATTTCGGATTCCCATTAAGTGGCAAATCTTCCTACCAAAAATCATCCAAATCGAGCTATGTTTAGTGATAGCCCCCATATAGAGGTAACCCAAATATTCGGTATTTTGGTGAGCTTGGGTACATTTCTGGACAGAATTCGGTTCTACTTTGATATTTTTGGTTCTCATTGGATAGCAAATTTTCCTACCAAAAATTATTAATGCAGTGTAGACCCCATACAACGACATCTTTAAAATTTCTGGATTTTTGAGAGCTTAGGCACATTTTTCATTCAAATGGGCTGTAATTTGGCTTTTGGGGTTCTCATAGGGTAACAGATCTTACCACCAAAAATTATTAATATTGGCATAAATTTCTGCATAGCCCCCATATAACGTTACCACATATAAATGCCCAGTTCCTTTGAAGATGGTCTCATACGCCTTTTTCCAATTCGAAACAACTATATTTTAGCAGTGGCTGTAATCTTTCATTCCGGACCCACATAACCTATTCACAGATCATTTTCTATATAAGTCCATGAATCTACATAGTCCCCATACAAAGGTCACGGATCATTTTCGGTGTATGCAAGGTCCTAGCCCAATTTATCAATTTTCTCTAGTTAAATTTTACATTTTCTCCGGGCGGAAATTTACATGTAATATCCCCCATAAACATGTACCGATCGATTTTACGTATTTAAATATTCCCATCCTAGTGCAGGATATAAAGTGTTCGACCCGGGCCGAACTTAAAGACCTTTTTTTCTAAATTTTAGTTTTCCAATTTTTCTTAATTCAAATTTCATTTGTTTTGTTTTTTCTTCATTACAGCTTCGGCGATGGCTTCTCAACCCTAACCTCAATGGTGAAATCCATCACAACATACATGAGCAAAGAGTACCACAAAGAGCAGCTGGAGAGATTCCGTGAAAAGGCCAGAGGTTTGGGACTGCAAGCTGTGGTGACCGCTATCGATTTGGCTATGGAACAGGTCAATAATAATATTTATTGGCGTAATCGTTCCTACTATAGTCTAAAATCATTTATCGATATTATTGTGGAAGATTTTGAAATTCCAATATTCTAAAGTTTGGAGAGAAAACAAGAGTCGTCATTTGCCAACGAAATAAGAAACAACACCAGACACACATACACTCAAAAAACAAACACATACACTCAAAAAATACACATACACCCAAAAAAAAGATACACAATAATGCAGCATACATACATCATAAGAAACGATCTTTAAAAATTTTAAAAATAATAATAATTTAATATACATACTTACATTAAATTACATACATACACATATTTTAATTTTTAAGTTAATAAGAAAAAAATGTATTTGTTTGCAAAAAATTAGATTTAAAAATATTCGATACATATTTTTTCCAAAACGAAAACATGCACACACAATCACCCATTTTTCACAATGATATTTTTTTTAAATTTAATTTTCCAAAAAAAAAAAAAATTGTCAAACTTTCTGTTTTTAACAAATTTAATTTGCAAACAAAAAGTGATATAATTTTAGTTTTATTATTTTATATACATAATAATAATTATTATTTTTTTAATTAATTTTAATCACGACTTACAAATTTAGTATTGAGCTTTAAAGCTAAACCTTTTTTTAAATTATAACGACATTAAGAAGAATAATTATATAGGTATTTTTTATTATTTAAAATTATTTTTTAATTATATTAAATTTAATTATTTTTTTTTGAGGAATATATCCTCAAAAAATTTTATTATTTATTTAATTAATTATTTTTTGGTTTATTTTATTTTTAATTTTTGTATTATTTGTATAGAATTGTGCTATATATGTAAATTTACATCGTTTATTATTATTATTTTATTTTTTTGTAATAAATTTTTAAGTATTGTTCCTATATATAAAAAAATAATATATATAAATATATAATAAATTGAAACGATAATTGTTAAGAGCTTAAGAGAAATAAAGTAAGATAACACAGAGAAAACAAAGAAAGAAGAGGAGTATTGTTTTTTTAATTGGCCTCTTATTATTTTATTTAACATCCGCCATAATATGGTGTGTATATTAATAAGTGGCAACTCTGGTAAAACCCAGTTAAACCCATTTACAAAGAAGATATTCTAAGCTAAAAATGCCCGTTTCATTTGTCTGTGTATCATTACCCGTTAAAAAGTTATGAAGAATCATAGAAAACTGTAATTTTCCGCAAACATGGCAACTCTGTTTAAAAAATTTTTTTACTGTTGAATGATAGTGTGTGTTCTAAGCTATTAATATCCATTCTAATTATTTCTGTATCATTAAGCATTCAAAAGTTATGAAGAATCTGCCAAACACTTGTCGTCAGCGCCATCTATTGAATGGGTAGATCCAAAAAACCGATCATCTAATGTTCAACTCTAATATATAACCTATAACAGATGTTGCAATGAAATTGGTGTCATATGAAAGGTAAAATTTTATAGTTTCCGGTGACATAACAAAAAAAAAACAATACTTTTTATTTTTTAAATAGACATGACGATTCTGTTATTTTATGGTGTGTGTGTTCTTAGCTATTAATATCCATTCGATAGATCCAAAAAACCGATCATCCAATATTCAAACCTAATATATAGTAATTGTTGACCTATTGTAGATATTGCAATGATACTGGTGTTATATGAAAGGTTAAATTTTATAGTTTCTTGTGACATAACAACAAAATCAATATTTTATATTTTTAAATTTTAAAGCATTAAAGTTTTCTATAAATTCCCTCGATAATATTTATAAGAATGCTATAAGATTTGTTTTCCTGGTCATAGTAAAGTAGGTTATTTACTCTTTCATGTAAGACCATTTTTGTTGAACATATAAACATGTTCAAAAATTATGCGTTTTGAAAATTGGACTTCAATAACTGATGTGTCTTATTTGAATTATACCCATCAAGAGATGGCGCTGATGACGCGTTCTTTAAAATGACATACCTCATTTCCTTTTGTCATAAATGTTGTCCTTTGAAGATAGGCTATTAATATCCATTTGATTTATTTGTGTATAGTTACGCATTCAAAAGTTATGAAGAATCTAAGATATCTCTAATTTTCAGTTAAGTTGACCATAGTGCCAAACACTTGCTGTCAGCGCCATCTATTGAATGAGTGGATCCAAAACCCGATCATTCAATATTTTAACATCATATATTTTCGCCATAACTGTTGACCTATTGCAGATGTTGCAATGAAAGGTAATAGAGATGCAATTATCCGTTCATGTGTCTTATTTGAATCATACCCATCAATAGATGGCGCTGACGATGCAATCTTAAAATATGCTTAGCTCAATTCTTTTCGTCATAGGTTTTGTTGTATTCTAGATATTTCAATGAAAGTTGTGTCATATGAATGTTAAAGCTGTATACTTGTACTGTGAATTAAAAAAATTATAAAATTTTATATTATTGAATATCAAGTTAGGTTTTGGAAAATGGTTTATCACTTTTCCGTTACACTGGGAACTTCGGTAAGCCACTTTAAACACTTTTATAAAGAAGATATTGTAAGCAAAAAATATCCGTTTGATATGTCTCTGTAATGTTACGCGTTGAAAAGTTATAAAGAATCCCAAAATTTTCTAATTTTCTTAAATTTGGCTGCACTGGCGAAGACTTGTCGTCAGCGCCATGGGCAGGTTTATATGCAAAAATTAAACTTTATTTATTCTTCCAATAACTTTTCACTGTAGATATTTAAATGAAATTGTATAATAAAAAAATTTAATTTTTTAATAAGTATTGAAGTTTTCTTTAATTCTTTTCGGTAATATTTTTGATATACAAATTATTTGCTGGTCATAGTAAAGTAGATTATTAGCAGATTAGATTATTTATTCTATCCTATGGTACCAGTTTCATACAGATGCGATTATCTCATAAAAAGTTATACGCTTTGCAAGCTCTTCTTAATAAACTGATATGTCTGATTCGAATCATAGATGGCGCTGACGACGGGGTTTATAAAAAATTCACACCTCATTCCTTTGTTGGTATAACTTTTCACGTATGGCTGGTATTCAAATGAAAACGATGTCATATGAAAGGTATAATCGTATAATTTCTTTTGAAATAGCTAAAATTTCAATATTAGTTTAATTTTAATATGAATATGGAGTTTCAAGATTAGGTTTATAAAGTTTGGAATATTTCATTGTGTGGAAAGATGTACCAGAAGGAGTAAAGCTATTGGTCCCATTTTCGAACATAATTTAAGTATGAAAGAAATATTATTATGTGCGGGGTTTGAATCGATTCGGATAGGATTAACAAATTTTTAAATTTTTTACATATTGTATAGTTGGGTTTTCTAGAAGGAATCTTCCAACAATATACACATTTCGTAAATTTATTAGGCTGTGCAAAGTTTGCTTCAAATCGGATAGCCTTCTCGCATGATATTATAAAACATTTTAGCAAAATGTTGACCATTTTGTGTAAGAGGTACCAGAAGGAGTGTACCGATTTGTCCCATTTACGAACTTAATTTAAATTTGAAAGAAATATTACGCTGTGCAAAGTTTGGATTAATCCGGTTACTCCCTTCGAGAAGTATGGTGCGCACCAGCCAGACAGTTGGACGCACTTTCGTAAATCGACTCCAAATTGTCTGAAACGGATTTGAACGATCCACATGGGGTCGTAAACCAATATTTCAATGAAGAACATTTTTCTGTAGCAGTAGTAGTACTAAGGCTGAGCATATACTCGCTGTTCTAAAGGAATTTGAAAAAATTATTCTTTAATAATGTTCCCTACTATCGATACTCAAAAACCTATTCTTTCAGGCTCTATTGGTACTTGACAAAAAATGATTCAAAAAAATGTACGCTGTATTAGCAGTTAGAACATTTTTGTTTAAATAACATTAGGTCTATTGAAGCTTGGATAAATATTCGTAAAAATTTGCCATCCTATCGGTACATAAAAAATTCCATTAAGAATCTCACCCATGATATTGTTATTGAAAATTTAAAAAAAATTAACATAGCATATTTTTTGTAATTTATAAATACACATAAAAACTATAAATCACTCCCCCTATCCAATAGTGAAAATTTCATCGAAATATCTCCATGCATCGCCGAGTTATGGCCATTTGAAATTTATCATGTGTCAAAATATACCTGCTACACGATTCTGTTTGCCTAGTACCGCAAATAGAAAATTGAAGAAATTGCAAGTCCACAAAAACAGCCAAATGTAGGGTGTGTTGCCAGATTGTTTACTTTGTGTTTCCATGTTAGTTTGCAGAATTATGAGCATACTTTTAGGCGTTAGACAAAATCCCATAAAAGCTATATTTCGATATATGGTCAATTTCAAATGGCTGTAACTTGACAATGAATGCAAATATTTGGATGAAACTTTCACTATTGGATGGCGGAAATATTGTAGTTTTATGTGTATCAATACATTACGGGAAAAAAGATTCGATTGTGTTTTAGACCCCATGTTTCTTGGACCAAATCCATTTCAGACATCTTGGAGTGGATTTACAAATATACATAAAAGTTCAATAAAGTTCAAACCTTCTGGTACCTCCCATACAATCAATGTCTGTTCCATATTCCATACTTTATAATCCTAACCTTGCAATTTCATATAATTATTCAACATTAATAGGACTTTTATTCATTTCACAAGAAAGTATGCTAGAGTACCTTTCACATGACACAACTTTTATTGAAATACCAGCATTAAGAAAAAAGTTATGGCAAAAAGAATTGAGATATGCAATTATAATAAACCCGTCATCAGCGCCATCTATTGATGGCATAATTTTTGAATCTACCCATTTAATAGATGGAGCTGATGACAAGTGTTGTGCTGCCAAATTTACAGAAAATCATCGGTATTTTAGATTCTTCATAACAATTGAATGCGTAATGACACAGAAATAATTTAAATGAATAAGGTGTGTGAGGTGTACAAACCCATCTTCAGCGCCATCTATTGATGGCATGGTTCAAATATGCAATTTCAAAATTTAATATTATTTTCTTATTCTATAACTTTTGATCTATATGAGATATTTAAATGA